AAGGTGTTGATTTGAGTGAAGAAGTTTTGATCGAGTTTGATGGGTAAACGGGTTTGCTATTCGGGTAAAGTCATGTTTGGCTTGTTTTTGTGTTTTTTTTTTTTTAGTTTTTTTCATATGGAGATTTGAGGGGAGGGGTTGGGTGATGGAGGATTGTTAGATATGCGGAAGTGCTATGGTAGTTGGCCAAGTTGAGGGGGAAGGTTGATGGTGATTTTAATGGAGGGTGGTGGCTTGGATGATGGAAGGATGGTGGTTTTTTGTGGGTTTGGATGATGGGGGAGCATAAAAATGAGCTATAGAGGAAAAATGGTTGCTAAAATTTTTTTTAAGGGAGATGAAGGCTTATATGTGTGGATTGAAAAATGAGTTTTTTATAAGTGAGAAATAAGGTCTTTTTTGGGTAAAAATTGGTTTGAGTCCCCAATTCCTCCTAATTCATCTAACGTAATTTGGGTTGTTTGAACTTCAATAACACTCTAAATTACAATTAATTAGGGCCTTTCTTAAAAACAAAATTGTATCCTTTTTTTTTTTAATTTAAGAATTTAGCATTTTTTGGCTTTATTTTAATTTATTTTTCCCTTGATCAAGTTAATTTTGGTTCTCAAACTTTTTTTTTGTTTTTTGATTTGGCTAATTTGAACTATTTATTTAAATTGATTTATTTCCATTCTTTTTATTTTATTTTTTTTGTTTATTTGTTATTTGCATTTATTTTATTGTTTGTATTATTGTTAGTTTTGTTTAGAATAAAAAAAATAATGGGGAAAAAAATTGGGTATTAATAATATTCACACCATTAAATATTTTATGTTATGATTTCAAGCAATTAAGAAAGGACATGTACATGGTTTTTTAAGGATATGGATCATGGCTAAACATGTTCAAGATGGACAAGGAAGAATGATCAACCTTTTATGAGGTTCATTGAATTAAACATGCCTAGTGCTTTTATGGATTTATGATGGTTTTAAAAGAAGGTTGAATATATATATATATATATATATATATATTCGAAGGTATGCCTAAAAGACGGAAAATGTATTTCAAGCATGAAAATGATTGTTTTAATTGCATTTATGCATGTTTATATTTATTGGAGTTTAACTCATTATTTTGTCTTGTGGTGTAAATGAGCAAAGCCATACTTGAAGATTGGTTTGATGCATCGAGGATACTGACCGTGAGCTACGGAGTTTTTCAAATTACGTACTACGTGTCTAGTTTTAAAGTTTGAAAGTGAAACCATTGATAAGTTTCAACCACTTTTGAGTATTGCCTAGATTTGACCATTTTGTTTTGTAAATGATGATATTTTTTGCTTAATTTGGTATGTTAATACATATATTTATTGGATTACCGAAAAATTATGTTAATTTTGGATATATTGATAAATTAATCTAATTATGGATGCATTAATGTAATTATGAAAATGGTATTAAGTTAGTTTAATATATGAATGGTTTTAGGCTTAAGTGCAGCTTGATAGTTTTAATCTAAGGATGAAAATGAAATAGTATAGGATGTTTATAAATGGTTTAGGTTATGCAATTGTAGAAAAATTTATTAGCCTTAAATGTCAAATTTTAGAAAGCCTTGAACAAATCGAATGAAGATTTAGCTAAGTATTAAGATATAGATCTAAGGTAAAGGACACAATGCATTGTCTTGTACCCTCGGATGGGAGACAATACAGTAGCACTCTTGGCCTCCTTGTTGGACCGCGAGCATTACACCTTATATATTTAGACTTATGTCCAATCTATCTTTACATGTTTAATTATATCCAATATATGCTTAGAAAATTATTTCTCTCTCGGTCTATTTTTTGGTTATATTTTTCTCGATAAAACTAATGAAAACACATCACGTGATTTATTCACGAATAAGTTCAAATTATATGTGACAAAAAGACCACTCATTAAGAGATAGAGAGTAACAAATAAATAAATGAAATTCTAATTAGGGTTTGATAAATTAAGATTTATTACATAGTTTGAATAAGTTGTATGTGTAAAATATTCCACATATAGCAAATTTTGGCATTTCTTTTTTATTTTTTAATGAAAAATATTTTGTTTATATAAAATCTGAACTTGATCATATACGAGTTATGTGACATACTTTCATTAGTTTTAACGGTGAAAATATGAAAGAATGATAGATAGTAAGCACAATAATTTTTTAAGAATAGTTTAAATACAATTAAATAATAAGAATAGATTTGACACAATCTTTAAAATACAAGAATACGTAGAGCTATTTCTTCTAAAATAAAATGGCAGTAACTCAAACATGAAAAAAATCAATGTTTAGATGTTGAAATATAGTTTTCTTAAAAAAATTAATCCATCGTATTTTTGTAAGTTTTCCAGATTAAAGCGGTAAATTGAGTTGCAATTGAAACTTCAAGGGGGGCATCGATTCATTTGAAAGCTCGATGATAATATGCCTGGAACCAGAGGACAAAAACTACACGGACTTATTAAAAAGTATTCGAATTTCAAATTTATTTTCCATGAAGTAAATAATAATAATAATAATAATAATACCGAAGCCAAGTCTCCCACGTCAGCAATCAGCCTCCATCCATATATATGAATTTATATGTTCTTCGGCATATCATTTTCCATTTGTCTTGAACTGAAAGGAGCCCTAAAGAAAAAATAGGCAGCCTCCTTCAAAATCGATCTCTTCTTGTTCACGATCTATTAAAGAGGAATCGAATTCTCAAAGAACTTGTGGTAATATCTCTTATAATATTATTTTTTGCCTGATTTCTCCGATATAAGTCCCTACTATATGTGTGTTAATTCTTGTAGGTAGGGATCGGGTTCTTCAATTTCCTGATTATGACGTAATTCATTTCACTTGTGATTTTTTTTTTTTTTGTGCCTATGTTTGTTAGGTTTTGAGCTGATTGGGATTGTGTCAAATTGTGGAAATACAAACTAAGTTAAAAAAAAATTAAAAATTTATTTTCTTTTGCGGATTACTCTACTTCATTAGCTTTGAGCTTTTGGCGGCATAAAAAGTAAAGAAATCTGTTTAGATTGAATTGGAAGTAGAAATTTCACATCTTGCCTGTTTGATTCTGCTATTTTGAGTTTAACATCTGGGTTACTCTTTGTATCGCATTGGGACTTGCATATGATGACTTCAGCTGAGTTTTATTTTGCAAGTCACATGGGAATTGAAATTTGAAGCTGAATTTATCTCGGAAGTTGTAAATCACTAGTGGGTTTTTTCTGTGATATTTTCTCTTGGGAAAGCCGGTAATGGCTATTATTTTTTAGTGTTTAATTTTCAATTAATCCTTCTATCTGAGAACTAAATTCAAGAATATATTTGAAGCATAAGTGAGGTGAAGGCTTGGGCAGGGGTTGTATTTGCATCTGTGTTTGGTTGAAACTACTTATTTTGGGAGCATAATTTGGTTGTTGGAAAGATTATAACGATTATTCTTGTGAGTATTGTGTGTATGATCATTTTGAGAACATGGATACGAACTGTGTATGCTTGTGTGAATCAAATATGTTCTGTTTATTAGAGAAAATTGAGGGAGGTAGGTTATAATCTCTTTTGTGGAGGGGAATTGTGTCTTCAATGTCAAAGTCTCTTTTGTGGCCTAGGAGTAACAATGAATGTGATCAAAACCAAGAGTGACAAAGGAAGATAAAAAAGATAGTAACTTGAGGCTGGTAATTTGTGGTGCCCTTTGTGACCTTGGGTAAAGCTGAAGAGTAGGACTCCTGCAACTTACCAATAGTTGAGTTCAGGGATTTGTAAAGATGGGTTGTGTACTGCTTCTCTTATTCGATTCTTATGCTTCTTGCAGTGGCTAATTTAGGACTTGGACTCCATAAGAATGAGTTTGCATATTGTTGTTAATATCTGAGAGCAATATGGAATGTGAACGTACCAATGTGGTGAAACCTTGGTGTGCAATTGATACCATGAAAAGATGATGGCTGTAGCTCTAAAACATAATTGCACTGCCATTGTGTTGGATGTAGTTAACTTGTATTTGCAACTCTCATTTTTTCTCTTGTTTTTCAATCTTTTTCTGCTACATATGATTGGAGAATGGCTCTTTTTGTTGGCTGCTCATCATTCAGGAACGAGACTTTATAAACTCATTACGTGATAGTTCATAAGAATAATATCGATGTAGAAAGCAATATGGATCTGGTAGGGTGTATAATTATGGTGAAGTGCCAGTGCACATCAATATGTAATTGATGCCTCAAAGTCTGTTGCTGTACCTCTGAAACATGCTTTCATCGTATTGAATGCTTTTAAATCTTACCAGAAGCATGATTATGCCTTATCTTAGTTTCTTTATTGCAGCTTTGCAGTTGCATGAAATCCAATGGGGATTCATTGAGAAAATGTTTTTTAAAACTGTTGTGGAGCATATTTGTTAGGGCAAACATGGCAGATGTCTATGAACATAGGTTTTCCGGAAGGACGTCTGTTTATTATTTTTAATTTGCTATAATTGTCTCTGTTTTTGCATAAATTCTGTATGGAGTCTATCTGAAAGTCTGAAATGTTAATCAATAGAAACATAAAGGATATCGTTTTGTTCTCATAGAGAATGGTTAATGGTGGACCTTACTTCTTTCGTAAAGTTTATCTTATGATTATTTAATTTTCTCATGAAAACTGCTGTAAATTGGAACCTTTTCATGTTTATGTATGAATTTGCAAGTTTGCTAACAGATATTTTGTGTGTTTGCTACAGCTTCTTGATCGTTTTGTTTTTTCCCTTTTGTTTGGGGTTTGTGTTCATGCATTTTCAGGGGGTGTTAAACTCTCAAAGTCTATTAGGATGTCTATTTTCAGTTATTATTCATTTTGAGAAATGTTAACACTTGTTGGGTTGTCTTATAAATTATCTTTATGTGCTTTCTTAGAACATCGTTCTTTTTGCTGCTGTGGTGTGAGGGGCACCAGATACTCTAGTCTTGTCTTGATATTTCTGAAGTCTCAACATGCCAAAGGATAGAAGAGATCGTTCCATATCTTTTGATAGGTGCAGGGAATCTCCTTATACATGCAGCTCTAGTTGTTCAAGACGAACTTCACCTAAAATCCCTTCAGAAACCGAGGAGAATCTGAAGGAATGGGAAGATGCCAGGTGCCCTGTATGCATGGAACATCCACACAATGCTGTTCTACTTATGTGTTCTTCACATGAGAAAGGTTGCCGTCCTTACATGTGTGATACAAGCTATCGTCATTCTAATTGTCTTGATCAGTTTCGCAAGTCATTTGCAGAAACAACTTCAACAACTCCACAACCACAAGAAAGTAGGATCACAACCATGAATGCTTCTGCAATTGTCAGCTCAGTATCAACAGTTACAGTTCCACCAGAGGTTCGATCTGAGGAAGGATCCTCACCTACTGAAACCATTTCTTGTGAAAACAAGGTGCAGCCAAAGCTAGTGTGCCCCCTGTGTAGGGGGCAGATAAAAGAGTGGATTGTAATGGAACCTGCGCGAAGTTTCATGAATGCAAAATCAAGAAGTTGTGCCTGTGAGACATGCAATTTTACCGGCACGTACTCGGATCTCAGGAAGCATGCTAGGATTGAACACCCACTTGTTCGACCATCAGAGGCTGACCCAGAGCGGCAACGTAATTGGAGGCGGCTGGAGCGTCAGAGGGACCTTGGAGACTTGCTTAGCACACTCCAATCTTCATTTGGAGAAGAGAGGGGTGATGACATTTTGCCTATAGATGATGGTGGTTGGCTTACTGTATTCTTTCTTATAAGAGTTTTTCGACCTGGATCTAGTCCAAGGAGTAGTAGCTGGTCGGGTACCTCAAGAGCCAGAGCACAGCTAGGCTTCAGAAGGAGAGCCGCCCGGCATTGGGGGGAGAATCATGATGGTGAAACTGGATCTTCTTCCAGAGAGGATGACAATGATTCTTCAGATGGTGGGTCAGGCCCTTGGAGGCGCAGTGAGCGCATCCGGCGAAGGACAACACCAGACCAGTTGTGATTGTGGAACTTTGTGATGTCTTTTCAATTGTTTTCAGAAGGTGCCATTACTGTAAGTTTTGCTTTTGTACTGTTTAGTTGAATGATTTGTATGTTCATTCTTTGGAAATTATGTGTTATAATTGAATCTAGACTTTTGCGGTGTTGCTGGTGGACAGCAGGAACCAAGGTTCTTTAGCAAGTACGGGATGAAGTTCCACGAAGTATCAAATGGTTTCTCGTAGAAGTTGCTTGATTGTTTATCGTTATCCTAAGAGTGAGCAAATTGTAACTTAATGAAAAGAGTCTGAATTAAATAATTTATATCCTTGGCATTTGTTGTTGGTTGGGTTATGTCAAATATTCTCTCTTTCAACTACTAGAAGCCTGGAAATAAATTTGTCGGTTGTTGCCTTTGAAAGGCTGTTGTTTCTCACAACTGTTCAACAGCAGCTCAGCTGTGATGTTTTATTTGTTGGGAAGACTTGGTAAAATGTTAATTAACATGATTTGACGAGGAAAGGGGACGTCTGAAAAATGGTTTTAATTCTTTCTTTTTAATATATATTTTGTTTTAAAGACAAGAATGAACGCATAAGCATTTTGCACTCTGTGGAAGAACCAATCTAATGTGATGTAGTTAGGCCATGACCAAAATGTACTCTATTAATGGTTTTTTAAAATGAAAAACCTACGAGAGTTTTTGGCCAAGGCACTCTGGAATCTTATTTATTAAAATTTTTCAATCGCATTTGCTAAATTATTTCTTCTTTTGACATGTAAGCACAGTCGTACATTTGCCATTTTATGTGCTAATCATTAAAAAAAGTGGTGATCAATAAAAAATTGTAGAAGAAAAGCCTCCGTTTACGTCAGGGATAATTTCATTCTACCTCCCCAACTACATAGATTTTATCAATTTCTACCTGAATGTTCGTTCTCTGTCAGTCACCTTTATAGCATTTCAACCATTTATCAATAAATTCCTTTCATCTACATCATTTTACTAAGACTAATGGAAAACAAAATTTTGTTGAATAAATTTCAATTTTTCTTCCAAAAGTGTAGATAATCAATTAATTATCTAAAAAAGTTCCCACATGATTTTTGATAGAACCCATTTTTGGTGGAAAAATAAAATCAACCCCGTAAACCATTATACTTTTGTTACCATTAGTTTCTTGGCTTTGTTAACACTTAATTTTTGCTCCTATTATTTTTATTTTTATTGAAAAAATACCCTGAAAAAAATGATAAACAAAACAAAAATGCCAAGTATAAAAAGAAAAAAAAAAAAGAAAAAGAGAAAAAAAATCAATTGGAATAATTAGCTTAGATTAGTTCTCGGAGGGGGCTAATTAAAACAAATGGAAATTTTTTTTAAAAAAAGTGAGAACAATTGAGGGTAAATTAAAAAAATTCGAAACTTCAATCTCTTAATTAAATTAAAGAAGGGGCATAATTGAAAGAAATTAAAAAAAAAGTCTCAATTAATTGACATTTAAGGGCTTCATCGAAATAAACAATCAAAATCAAACTTAAATGGAGGGATTATGGAGAATTGGAGACCAAATTAGACTTTTGCCAAAAAAGACCTATAAAATACCTATAAAAGCCCTTTGTATTTTTTGGTATATTACATTATTCATTCACTATGTTTAAGCACACACTCGATTGCAACAAGAAGAAAACTCTCAATCTCGCAAACTCCCTCTCCCTCGCCCATAATAGCCTTCGCCTATAGGCAAGCCTCCTTACGCCCGACCTAGCAACGACCTTTTGCACATGCCTCTCTTGCACATAGCCCATCGCCCAAGCAACAACCCATCGCCCTTAATAGCCTCTCACTCGTAGCTAAGCCTCCCCACGCCGACCTAGCAACAGCTATCGCTCGTAGCCCTTCATAACAACCCAGTAGCCACCCAATGTAGCCCTTTATAGTAGGTCCTCATAATAGCCCCTCGCCACATCGTCCCTCGTAATGCCTAAGCACAACACGAGCAGGCCAACCATGGTAGCGCTAGGCTTCCTCACACCGGCTACACCTAAAACGGTAGGCCAACATTACCCTCACATACTAGGCTCCTTCGCACGCTAGCCCCCGTCTCACATGCCACAAGCAATAGTAGCTTACCACACCCGACCTCACAACACTAGCCTCTAGCTTGCGTGCTACAGCAGTAGCCCTTCACCACACCACACCATAGACCCTCAATGCTAGCCCTCACCTTATGTGCCATAGCGAGCAACCCCTCACCTTGCCACAACCCACAACGCTAGCCCCCGCCTTCGCATGCCACAACAACAACCCCTCACCGACTAACCGGCAGCCCCCTCAACGCTAGCCCCTTACTAACCAACCAACAACCTAACTTGAAATAACCAACCCCTCGTAAACTCTCTCTCACACACCATAACTCAAGCCTAACTTGAAACAACCAACTCCACTCAAACTCTCCCTCGTATGCCATAACTCTAGCCTCACTCAAAACAAAACAACCCCTTTTATTAGCCTCTTCTTTACCAAAAATAGCCCCCTTTACACTAGTCCCCCCTCTTCCATCTTTTGACCAAGAAATACCTACCACTGCAGTTTCAATTTCGGGTATAGCGAAGTAAAAAAAAAAAGAAGAAGCAAAATGGGTGTCTTTGTTGGTTATAAACATCAGCTAGAACTAGTTTAGGATAGAACTAAATATAAAAAAATTATTGTTGATCAATTATATTTGGTAGAAATAACATCACATGTAGATTACGCTTTTGTTGGTTTTTGATAGGAAAAATACGAGTAACAACTTTAGCGTAAACCCCCCTCAAGTTGCAATAACTTTGGAAAATTTTGAAATTATTGTAAAATTTACAACAACTTTTGGTAAATTTATAGCAACTTTGACGGTAACAACAATCTTGACTATTTGCACCAACTTTGGAGGGATTTTTAGTAATTTTAATAAGATTCATACACTATTTTACAATGGGCAACTGTTCTCCTTCTTTAGCTAACCGAATAATCGATTATCATTGGGGAAGAAGATAGTAAATTGACCCCTAAATTGGACACTTGAACTATAAAATGTTTTGGATAAAACTCCTACAACGATTATACTCCTTCAAAATGTGAATGAAATTACATCATTTCATTATTATATTCATGGTTTAAATGTTGTTTGAGGTGAACATTATTGTAATAGCAATTACAAAAGAATTACCCTACTCAAGAACCTATAATTCTAATGTGAGTTATTTTACCTATTTGTTGTCTCGCTTGTCTTAAACGAAGCTACCAATGGCTTTCTACTTATATGACAAAGTACCTAGTGGTTTTGAAGTTATTTTATTTATTTTCTCGCTTGTCCGAAAAAAAACCACTAATGGCTTTCCACTTATGTGATGAAGTTGTTAATGGTTTCAAAGTAATTTATTTTATTGTCCGTTGGTCTAGGATGAAGCTATCAATGGCTCCCCACTTATGTGACGAAGCCATCGGTGGTTTCAAAAATATTTTATTTGTTGTCGCCTTGTCTAAAATAAAGTCGTCAATGACTTTCAACTTACGTGATGAAGCCACTAATGATTTCTTCTTATCTAAAACGAAGCCACAAGTGGCTTCTTATTTGTATGATGAAATTGCTAGTGTTTTGAAATGATTTTATTTTATTGTCTCGCTTATTTGAAACAAAGCCACCGAAGCTTCCCACTTGTATCATGAAGTTGTTAATGGTTTTAAAATTATTTTATTTTATTGTTTACTTGTCCGAAATGAAACTCGCTAGTAAAATGATCGATAACTTTCCACTTATGTGATGAAGTTGTCGTAGCTTCCCAAATTCATGAATTAAAGTCGTCGATGGCCTCCTACTTAGAAGTCATCGATGACTCGCCGCCCATGCCAATAAAAGGCTATCAAAATTTCAACTTCACCTTTTTTCTTTGAGTATGAGGCATTGGTTTTAGATTGACCTAAACCCCCATACTACTTTATTTTATATCGAAACCTTCAAACTACTCTATTTTCACATCTTAACAAAATGAACTCATTTAAATTGACATAGAGGCTTAACACATTAAAAAACCAAAATTTTATTTTCACATACAAACAATGCAACTTACCTTAAGTAAGACAAGATGACGGTGATGTTATATATTTTTCATATGTAATTGACCCCTTACCTAGATATCTATATAACCAAGTATATTTAGGGTTTTTTAGTTCTCTTCGATTAGCTAGGTAGCGACACCTTATTCACCCATGATCTCATCATACCTTTGTGAGCCGACATCGATAGAATGACATCTCCACTAGGGACTATGTCATGCTAGGGTCAAGATTTGAATGTTTGTGTTCATGAATGTCTAGTTGTTTGTTATTCTTTTATGCTTGCATATTTTGAATGAATAATTAGCCTTTAACTATTTACTTGTTTATTTGGTTGTTTATATATATATATATATGGTGTTTTGCTTTGTAGATTCTATTCATTTAATTTTTTGTCCTTAGTTTTTAAGACTAGATATGAGGTCATGCCCTCATACATAACACTACTCACATTATCTATCATACACACTTGTTTTTGGATTTAGGGAGGAATTAATGGTGCCCCGATGGGCTTTGCCCTAGGTAATACTAATGAAATCTCAATTTTTTTAGAAAACTACCATTGCCATGATAGGTAATCGATGGTCTCCATGGTTATCATCTTTTCACTTGGTCGGTCTCAATTCTCTTGAGTCCAAAAAGACCCTATAGAGATTTAGATAGATCTTACCCATTCATGTAATGAATAGAATCGGATCCTAGGATCATCTTTCCTATATAAATTCACTAGGCAAGTCAAATATATTAAAACCTTGACCAAATAATTGGTCATGAATGTTTTTGGATTGGTAATAAGAGGATTCAAGTTCAAATTTATACAAGTTTGAATATCAAAGAAATTTCATGGCTCAATCAAAATATGTCAAATGTTATTAATGGAACACAACTCCATCTTTAAACCAATTAACAACAGGACAATCCATCTTGCTGAAGTTTTCAAAGGTTATTAATGACATTTAAGTTCATCTTTAAACCAACTTGAGTTAATACAAAAAGATCAAAGAATCAATGACTCGAATCCTCTTATCACCCCACATGAAGGCTATTCCATATCCAGATATCGAGTGTCTTTATTTATGTTCGAATATTATTTATATTATTATGTTTTGATATTTTTCTTTTTTATTTAGAGAAGCATAAGTCATCCTATCTAAATTGCATTTCGCCCCTAAGATTGACAACTCAAGCCAAATCAAGAATGGACAATGAAGAAAGGGCTTAACTTGACAAAGCCATCCGAAAGAGTTAAATCCTTTGAAAGTAGAAGTGTCTAAGCTAGCTATTTACTTAAGCAAAGCCTATAAACCCGTACATCTATCGAAGTGCCTCTTAGTCAAGAAATGGGCCAGTCATCTACTATCCTCGAGGTGTTCACTATCATACCGATATCCACTAATCGAGTGGTGATTTTCTATGCCACATTTCTCCATTCTCCACCAAAAGGCTATCAGTATTTTTAATCTAACCAATCACTTTGCACTTGGGGGCATGTTTGAGTCTACCTATCTCAAAGTCTCTAGCTTAATTCCATAGCAGACAATATACTTTGCAAACTCAAACAACTCTTATGATTGATTTGGCTACTAATGAAAAGCCGAAAGGAAAATGAGGTTAGAGACTAAAACTAGAAAGTTTAGTGTTATTGAGGAATGTCTTAAAGCCATTGAGAGCATGAACATATACGACCCTCTTTTGATAGTAGACATATGCTTAATTCTGAATATTACAATTCCTAAGAAATCCAAAGTACTAAAAATTTCTAAATACACTAAGAGTTAATATCCAAGAACTCATCTTAGGATTTATATAAGCAAGATGGTCAAAGTCGCTCATGATGAAAAGCTTCGATTAGTTTTTTTCCATACAAATGTTCACCAGATTGGAGAATTTACTTTCAATTCAAACATGTTAGTGTAAATGTCCAAGATCCAATCATATTTAGATGGATTTGAGTTATTATATTATTATATTATTTATAATAAAATAAGTCTTTCTATTAATTCTTGTCATTTACATTTATTGATTAAATAGAATTAGATAAAATTTCATATGATATGCATTTACATTAATGATTGATCGAAAGATGTAAGACAAACACTAATACACATAAATGATATCATTAAACATCCTAAGTCGTAGCATTATCAAGAATAGATATTAACTATATCTAGTTAGACTTGTGAGTGTTATGCTTATGCTATACGATAGTAGTAGGAGATCTCACACCTATTGGCATGATGATGCCAAAGCAAGTACTTAGGTGATTAATGTTAGAGAACATATCATTGGATTTGACTCATAATGAGAACCCATTTGGTTTAGTCTATAGGAATCTCATATGTGATGGATACAACTTATCCTTAAATTTGAAGTTATCATAATTATCTCATTAGAGGATTTATACATTTTGACAGCTTTTTTGATCGACCTAGTAAAAGGTTGCACATGGGTGATTCGTTTAGTGTACTAGGAATCTAATAAAGGTAGGTGGATGACTAAGATAGGATATGCCATTCCTTATATACTAAAGGAGTTATCACATTGCACTTCGCTAAATGTCCGCTTAAGAAATCTATGATCATAGTAGGAGTACACCAATAGAGCATAGTTGGTTTACTCCGGGAGCTAAGACATTTAGGAATCGAAGAAAACTCATGTGATCATAGTCAAACAAGACTTATAACCAAGTTTGAGATCATACTATGATAAGTTGATATGAGGAATGAATTATATGATAACCATGGTCATGAAAGATAATAACGGATTAATTAATCCTTTAAGAGAATTTGGTAGTCATGATGCCTTACTAGAGGCCAATCTTGACTTATGTATCAAAAGATAAAAGATGTGACTTTTGTTCTTGATACATTGCCAACATATTTAGGAGCCTATTAAGTCACACGTATAAATTTAAACATTCATATGATTAAAGAGAAGCAAAGATGTTGGAAAAGTTTTTAATTTTGAAAGTTTCCTATTTTGAAAAAGATTTTCAAAAATGAAATGTTTCCTAAATGGAACTTTCCTAGAATGAAAATTTTTCTATTTTAGAAATCGGCTTCCTAATTTGAAAGTTAGTTCCAAATTTGA